TCACTAGGGTGTTTATCTTTAGATAAGCATGACTACGATACAAAGGTATCGTATATATTATATGAAGTTGGCTGTTTGTCTTTCCTTTTTGCGATTAAAATAATCCCTCTTTTGGCCACTTCATCCGTAATCATTTTTTAGTTTAGAATTTATTATTATCTTTTACTATATATATAAAAAAAAATATTTATATGTATTTCGATGATGTCTAGAGGTGAACTTTTTATTTAATTTTATATTTTCAAATTTATACCCACATTATATTCGTCTTCACATTCTCTTTTCACCTCAAATGAACTATTACATTTGATATGTGATGGTTCAAGTTTTCTTTAACCTGAACGAGCTTGCCACCTCTACGCGGTGTTTAGGAGAAACGGTTATAGTTTGTACTATTTCTGGCTAAGCGCAAGCATGTAAAAGTTGTATTTCATATTAAATTATAAATAAATCATATATACTGTATTATTCGTAATATAAACACATAATCTCCGAGTAGGCGGTTGAATTTTGTCTAATTAATATATAGAAATTTTAAATAAATTTAAAGTTGCTTTTAAATATGAAGGTAAATCCATTGAAGGAATAATTTTATCTTACATCGTTAATTTTAAATATAAATTTGAATGTAAAAAACTAAAGTCGAATCTCTACATATTAAATTGATAAAGGATCGACAAGCTTCGCAATAATTTATTACGTTTATTCCGACACAAAATAACATCTTCAAACAATAATTCTCTAAATAATAATTTTTTTTCCCTCCCTTTTCCGTTTATTATGTTTCCTATTGCTTATTGTACAAATTGGGATTTAAAAGTCATGTATTGCATGATCGAAATCACAATTTCTGTATTTGCATGTTAGTATTGCGTGATCATAATAATGCTTGTATACATTTATTCATTTAACAATATTAATGCGGTCAAAACGGTTCACCGTAAAATTAGTTCAACACTTTTTCGCAATGATAATTTTGATTAAAGATGTTACACCAAATGCACGATCGACAATTAATTTGACAAAAGTGATTAATTTCAAATACATACTGTATATCCCACAAAGAGTAAAATTTCTCTCTCTTCAAATTATTTTTTTTTTTTTTTTTTAGATACGGCCTACAAATGTCAAATGAATAGATTAATTGAATTGAAGAATCTATAACTGAAAAGCATATTAAATATTATGAATATATGAATATAATCGTTTTAGAAGTATTCAAGTGATTAGGAACGGGGGGTTTGGAAAAGTTTATCGTGCGAATTGGAAAAATTTACAACAATACTTGGCATTGAAATCATTTTTGATTTCAAGTTCGTGAGGTAATTATTTATGTATTGATGCTCATGATATGTATGATCTTTGTAATATTCTATTGATTTTTTGTTTGAAATTTGTGATTTTTTTAAAGATCGAACTTAAACGTGATGTCGATTTCACTACAATATAATTCGTTTCCTTGGTATAACGAAACTTGAATCAGGCATTATTTGAAATACTGTTAAATATTATTATTATTTTATCATTTATAAAATGACAATTTAATGAAATAATATTTGTTTTAATTTTTTATTAGGAAATCAGAATAAACACTTAAAATGTATCTATTGGTAATGGAATATGCCGATGATGGCACCCTACGAGGCTATTTAAAGAAAAAATCAAAGATCTTACTTGGGATCATAAATTGAATTCTTGTCAATTGGTTAGTGCCGTCTTATGTTTGCATGATGAGGGGAATCGTGCATCGTGATCTGGATAGTCATTTATGTATTATATGAATGAATTATAATTAATTATTTTATTTGATTATTTGATGTATACCTGCACCAGGTAATGCTTCATGCAATTTTTTTAAAAAAAATCAATGCCAGGATTTTATATTCTTATTGTAGAACCTCATATCATTCAAATTCATTCATAATCTTGCTATACAAGCGATTATTACAGTACAAATTTAGATACTCTAATTACAATACTTCAATAAAAAGATACCAAAATTTTTCATCAGCGCTATAGTTCTTTCGTTTTTGTATTTATAAACAATTTGTAATGTAAACGGGAGGTATTTATTGAGTAAATATTGAGTAAAAATGAAGTAATGTCGACGTTAAATTTATTTAAAATTAATCAGTGTTGACTCAACGTCGGCGCTCTACACTTTCGCAATGCAATGTCAATATATTAAATATCAATCAATAAAATTCTACTTTACGAAAAATTGAATAATAAAATAATAAGAAAATCGGGATTTAAAAAATAAACGAAGTTACAATAATGAATTGTAAATTTCTGATTTTTATGCAATATTTAATTTTCTAATAACTTATGCGCGCACGAATTTTTTTTAAAAATAAATTTAAATGTTTATTACATCAAAAAATATAAAATATAAAACATTAGCGAATTAGGTAAGGAAGTCATCAGGTCATTTCGTAGTTAAGGAGTTATGTGTTTTGTTAACCTAATATCCTCATTTTTAAATATCTTAGAAATCCGCCTGAATTGTTATCCTTATATTAATATTATTCTTAAATACTTGGAACTTGATTTTTTCTTGAAGCTAAGTTTCTTTCTTTCGAATGTACTAGCTTTCAAACTTTTCTTTAAATCGTGGAACTTATATATAAAATGTACTTGACTTTATCGAAAGATAATAAGTTTTTATTATTAAATATCAAAATAAATAGTTTTAGAAGTATAACCTATCAAATTAAAAATAAATTAGTTTGTCGTTAAATTCAAAACGGTTGTTTACTTGATATCATTTACTTACCTTTATTAGAATCTAAGTTGGTATATTTTCTACTTTCATCTAAGTAATATAATAAAATTATATTTTTTCTAGTTTTGATTTGTTGATAATTCTTTTATTATCTTCAATATAGTTGTAGATTGAAAAGAGGATGGGCGTTAAAAAGCAACCAAAAATATGGAAAAAAGGGGAGCAGAAAGACGGATAACAACAGTAGTGAAATCTTACCTTGAGAGCTACTTTTTGGCAGGTAATATAAACAAATCAGATCGAATGACAGCAAAGGATATGGTAGAGCAACTTCAAATCCTTGCTAATGAGGGTGAAATTCAAGTTGAAGATGTTTCTGAAATAGCAAAGGTCGCAAGCTGGATTACACGATATGCAGCAAGTCTAAAAAACATTCAGCAGAGATGACAATAGCGGAATGAAGCAGTACTATAAGAAACTTCAACAACTTTCAAGAAATGGCAGAATCCAGTAACGAAAAATTGCGTAGTTATAAAAAAGGTAAAAAAGCCGTTTATAGTGATAATATCAGTGAGCAAGTGACAAATGACAGAAAAAATATAATTTCGAAAAATAATATTAGCTAGGCTAGTGTTTCAAAATTTTGGAATCTTACTATATATATGACCTCTCAAATCTCTATGTCCAATATAATAAAATTTTTAACGGAAGCTCTAAATGAATTTATTTTTAAATAAAGTTAATTGTTAAGTTCCTGTGTATCAATCATCTTACGAGTTTTCATTAGAGAAATTTGGTAATTTGTGCAATGATTATATTGATCGCCCAAATGCATTACTAAGGCCGTTCTCAAGCGCATCCCTCAATGTGATTGGCCAGTGATTGAAGTAATGCTCAAGTATCACGATCAATTGAAATCAATTGAAATCAATTGAAATAAATATGTTGATCAACTCTTGAGTAATCTCTATCACTTGCTTGCTTTTTTTATCGAGTTTATGATGGTTCAAAAAAAAGAACTAAAACAACTTTTAGAAATTTCGTTCCAACTACTCATTCCACTCCTTTTCACAACTTAACAAATAATTCATCCTTGCAACAACATAAACATTCCACTACACAACCTTTCGCTGACCCTTTAATAAATGAAACAGCAAATAATATAGATTTTTTAACACTAAATGAAGCATGATATCCAACACATATGGACCATTTACATGAAACAGCAAGATATCCAGTAAATATTCATTCTTTTATAATTATACTATATAAAAGATAATAAACGAAGTTATTTTATAGATAACCTCGCAACCTTCTCTTATTACTTACCATGAAATTCAAGAAAATCGATCACCTTCTGTAGCTGTGAATCAAAGTCCTATCCAACCAAATTCTACATTTGTTAATTTTAATACACCTAAATTAACAAACAGATGGACATCATCAGAAACCCGAATGCTTATTTAAGAAGTAGGAAAGCAATGGCAAGCTTTACAACATGTCAAAGATTCAAGAAAACAGGCCGAATCTGGAATAGAATTATTACAAACATCCAAAGGTTAGATTTGGCAAGTCCAGCTTTAAAAGAACGGACGAAGACATCAATTCAACAAAAATGGGATGCACTTCTTCAAAAATTTCGTGACATTAAGGATAAAATTGAAAGCACTTGTGAAGAAGCTATTCAGAATGACTGGGAATTTTTTAATGATATGGATAACTTTTTAAGAAAAGATCCAAGTATAGTTGCACTAATTACAAGTGACTCACTTTATAGAATTAAGCGTAAAGTATAAAAGAATGTTAAAGATCAAGTTGAAGAAGTCAGTGACATTTTAATATTTTATTTTTTATTTTTTCTATTTAATTAAATTGTTATTTATAATTCAATTGAATGATTTCAAAAACAAAAGAATGTACTTTTTAAAGAAAATAAAACAAATATATAAGAGATCCAAATCCTTATTAAAAAACAAACTGATACTATTGCTACAATTATGAAAGAACAATATGCTCATGCTTCTGAAGTTCAGCAAAAGCAACATAATAAACAAATGGAAATATTTAAGCAGTTAATAATGTATAATGCAAATAGTTTTATTGTAATATTAAAGATTAATAAATAATTATAAATTTATTAGATTTTCTAAATATTCTCTTTTTTAAGAATCTGCTATTTCTTCTCTTTCTTCATTTTCTGCTTCATATTCATTATCATCATCTATATTATCGTCCATTTTCCTATTAAGATTATCTGAAAATAATAAATCTCTCATATCAATACAAATATTATGTAAAATACAACATGCGTGTATTATTTTAATAATTCATTCTATATTAATACAATAAATTTCTTTTAATAAAATTCTTCACCTTTTCTTTAAATATCCAAATTCTCGTTCAATAATTATTCGCATTTAAAAAGTGTTTTATTAAAATAGCGTTCTCAGATAGTTATATATAATAATTAGGAAATGCTTTCATTAAATATATTCAAAAAGGATATGCTACATCTGCAATAATATAAGTACCATCTGAAACCATTATTTAGGATACAATAAAATATCACAATAAAATGAAAATGATAAAACACTTTAGCATTATATACACTTCCTATGATGATAAAAAATATTAGCATATAATAAATTAATTATTAAAAGATAAATAAATAATAATAAATTTTTACTAGTCTACTTTGCTAGTATATATATAGGTAAAATATTTCTAGTGATCAATAATTCTAAGAAGGTTGATGGAGTGAAATTTTTTTTAATTAACATAGCATACATTATTTTTAGAAGATTCATAAATAGATATATATTCTGTTTATTGCACTAATAATGTTAGGAAGTTTGCAATTTCTTAAACCAGTTTCTTTATATTTAAATCTCATATTACTGTTGCTAAAAGTGATCCTTGAGGTCATGCAATTCATCTTTATTCTAAATCTAATATTGCTTCTAAAAATCAATTAGTAAAATTACTTATAGATCCTTGGCTTATTTTGAGTGTTTACTCTAATACTTATATTTCAGTTCTATTTATTAATCGCTATAATACAATAGCAATTTGTTTTCATATAGGTGTTACATTAGAGATGTTTAAGGTAAGGCTTGATGAGTTTTTAATCAGATTACAATAGTATAAAAGGTTGTAAGAATTATATAAAAATGACACTTAAATGAATTATAACCTTTTTTATTTACTAAATTTGAAAAACATCAGTTCAAAAATCTTCAGTTTTAGGTCTTGGCTAACATTGCATTTCTTATATTAGTTAAAAAAAAGAATACTTGAAAAAATTATATTTGTTGTGATAAGAAAAGTTAAAAGATAAAAATTATTGAATCTTTGCATTTAAATATCTTGATGCCTTTTATTTTTTATGATAGCTTCTAGTATAAAAGTAATATAATTATTGATTTTTGTTGACGTTAAAGATCTATAGAGTAATATATGTAAAATGGAAAGTAAAAGAGTTAGGCAAATGAGCAACCTTATTTTATACTCTATTTTTTTTCATTTTTGGTAGTTCTATAAAAAAAAGATGGTCTATAGCTTCAGGTTTTTAACTTTAATGATCATCACATTTTGCCTTTTTAGTCAATAATAAACTCATCAAAAAAAATGCTTAAGAACAGTCTAAGTGACGTCACTGTATCTTATATACAATCATTTCAATATTAAACCCTTATAGAATATTTCTATATTTATTAAAAATATTAAAGTTATCAAAGTATAAAGGTTGTAATATTCAACAAGTTAAACTTTCTTTAGAAAATATTAAATCTTAATAAACCTATCTATATAATAATAAAAAATCTTATTAGTAGAAAGTAAACTTATTTAGAATAAATCACATTTTTTATTTATATTTATAATTAAAATATAAAAAAAGAAATATTATAAGCTAAATTAATTGCTTTTTATTATACAAAAAGGAATATCATCATTGTATTCAAATTCTGATAATTCTTGATAATTTACTATTTAAAAAATAAAAAAAATTCAAATATTTTTGTTTATAAATAAAAAAATAATAACATGTTCTTTAACTTACAATAAAATCCAAAATCTTTTCCAAAATTCCAATGACATCTTATGGTATTAAAAGTTTGAATCAAAATTATGATTAAGATTACAATAGCTAAAAATAATTAATATTATTAATAGATGATATTATTTTCAAAAAAAAGTTAGAAATAAAATGAATTACTTACTGTAAATAAAAATGATTTTATAATAAATATTATCATTAACTAAATTCCAAAATTGACATCTTGACTCACTATCATTTAGTAAATCATATCATATGGACACCAATAATATATTTGTAAGAAAATTTCTAACCATTCACCTATATTTCCCAAATATATAATATACATCAAAAAGTGTGATTCATTTCTAATCTAAAAAACAAAACAAATAAATTAGAAATGATTTTATTAAAAAAAAATTTATTTAAAATCTAACAAATACTTAACTGCTTTAAATACTAATAAAATATAAAATTGAAAAATAATATAATGTAAAAAGGATTTGTCCATAATTCTTTTATTTCAGCTCCTAACATAATTAATTTTTTATGAGCTGCTAACAATTCAATCATCCAAACTGAATATGCTAATATTAATGTCATTATTATTTGAGCATGAACTAATACTGTTTGAATTTGATATGTTTTATACATTTCTTAAAAAAAATGGTAAAGATTTTTTTATAACTTTTAATTTAAACTTTCACTTATAGTAAAACATAAATTACTCACTTTCGATATGTTTGTGTCTTGTAATCTTAAATTCTTTCAAAACAGACCAAGATCTAAAGAATAAATCATTATTAATTAATAATCATAACCTGTGTTTAATACTATTATTAGTACTTACTTATTTTTCCAAAGTAAAAATGTTAATGCAATTAATAGTAATTCACAGAGGATTGCTCCAATAAGCAAACAAAATCCATCTATTTTTACCAAGTAAATAATAGAAATTTCATTTGGTATAATTGATATACAAGTTGGGCATTTTATAACTGTTGCGAACCAATAATATTTAAATATAGTGGGCAATACATTCCATGAGCAAAATACTATTCCGTGCAATACCGATTGCTGCTGTACCTAATTAAAAGCTTTTTATTTTATTCAGAGTAAGAGAAAGGATTAATCATGTTAATCTTTAATATTCGTACCGTAATTATTGAAGAAGCTATAGAAATCAGCACATTTACTAATGATATAAATGTAGAAAGGGTATCTGGATTCATTATGTAAAACATATGTGCATAAAGAATTGTGGTTGAAGTAAAATAGGCGATGCATACAATCACAAAGATTTTTTCTAGATAGGAATATCTCGAAAAAAAGCGAATATTAATATTGCTCGAATTTTGCAAATAAGCATTTGGATTTTAAAATCATCATTTTTGCAAATTGTAAAGAAACTTTTAAAAATTATAAACAAAGATAAAAAAAAAAAAAAAAAACCTTTAAATCCAAATTTGGTTCCTTAAAAATTGCGCCTCGGAATCCCAGAAAGATTATTTCCCGTGTGTGACACACTTTGCCATTATTTAAATTTCCGGACGTATCAATGATTATCATTTATCGTAAATTCATGCATACAGGAAATAAAAAATTTAACTTAATAATAAAGAACAAAAAAGTGGAATTAGATTGTTAATATTCAATTACTATTAAATTCAAGGTTGTTTAAAAAGTTCTAACGACTTCTTATTTTTAATAAAATTATAATTAAGATCTCGATCCCATTTGGCAAAGTCAAAATTTTTCGAAATAATAATGACAATGACGGGTTTTGACAAGTTTTGACAATTTTGACAAATTTCAGTAGTTTCAATTTGTGTTTTGCAAATATTTCTAAACTTTCGTGTAATTGCTCTAATTAATAAATTGAAATTGTTTACTTACCATAACTTTCTTTTTGTTTTCCGTTTTCTTTCTTTTTATATTCAGTTAGTAAAATAAGTCTAAATTTAACATATCAAAAATAATTTTTCCTCCCTTTCTATTGTAATACGTCCATAACTAATCATTTTAAATGAATAGCATGATGATTCGTGGAAAACAAGGTAGTCAAAGAGCTACTGTTACCATAAAATAAGCGTTCAGATATTATAAAATAAAAAATAAAAAAAATATCATTATAATTTATGCAGACAAAATATCGAATTTTTTTCTTCAAAATTAAAAATTCAATTAAATTAATTAAGATAGTCATGACCTCAAATTATAAAAAGGATGTACCCAGAAGAAAATTTTGATTTTGATTTTAATATCAATGAATATTTGCCACCCATCAAAACTTTTCGCGGTTTTATTAATAAGTAAGTTTGGCAAAAAGTATAAGCTAGTTTCGATTTCGAAATTTGTCGAAACCCTTTATCAGGCAACCTTAGTTTATTGATTTTATGTTTAAGTTATTCGAATCAAGATACAATAAGAAATTTTTTATCCTATTAGCTAGTTCTTCGTTTCTAATCTATATGGCAATTTTTTTTATTTTATTCATAAAATCATAAAAACATGCGGATGCTTTCCGAATCTTTATAAATATTCACAGAAAAGTCTCGAATATTATCTGCTATCCCGTGGACTTTTGAAATCACTGTAAATGCCATTCCTATTTTTTTTATTATTATTCTTGATATTTTACACAATCTACTGAGTTGTTCGGACCTGTATGATACGGTAATTTTTTATGGTGATTCGACAATTAGTATATCTTAATTTTGATTTCCAAAGTGTATAAACAATTAATTGACCGGATCGAAT